GGAAGCGGGGGCACCAAGAAGGCGAACTCGGGGCTTCGGCGTCCCGAGAAGCCGCCGTACTCGTACATCGCGCTCATCGTCATGGCCATCCAGAGCTCCCCCAGCAAGCGCCTGACGCTCAGCGAGATCTACCAGTTCCTGCAGGCGCGCTTCCCCTTCTTCCGCGGCGCCTACCAGGGCTGGAAGAACTCGGTGCGCCACAACCTCTCTCTCAACGAGTGCTTCATCAAGCTGCCCAAGGGCCTTGGACGGCCCGGCAAGGGCCACTACTGGACTATCGATCCGGCCAGCGAGTTTATGTTCGAGGAGGGTTCTTTCCGCCGCCGGCCGCGCGGATTCAGGCGGAAGTGCCAGGCGCTCAAGCCCATGTACCATCGCGTGGTGAGCGGCTTGGGCTTTGGGGCCTCGCTGCTGCCCCAGGGCTTCGACTTCCAGGCGCCCCCGTCGGCGCCTCTTGGCTGCCACGGCCAGGGCGGCTACGGTGGCCTCGACATGATGCCCGCAGGCTATGATGCCGGCGCCGGAGCCCCGGGCCACGCGCATCCGCATCACCACCACCACCACCACGTCCCACACATGTCGCCCAACCCGGGCTCCACCTACATGGCCAGCTGCCCCGTGCCCCCGGGTCCAGGAGGCGTCGGTGCAGCCGGCGGCGGTGGTGGTGGCGGCGGCGGGGACTATGGGCCGGACAGCAGCAGCAGCCCAGTGCCTTCATCCCCAGCCATGGCGAGCGCTATCGAGTGCCACTCGCCCTACACGAGTCCTGCGGCGCATTGGAGCTCGCCCGGCGCCTCGCCTTACCTCAAGCAGCCGCCCGCCCTGACGCCAAGCAGCAACCCCGCGGCCTCTGCAGGCCTGCACTCCAGCATGTCCTCCTACTCGCTGGAGCAGAGCTACTTGCACCAGAATGCCCGAGAGGACCTCTCAGGTAACGCATCGCGACCAGAGTGGTCCGCTGCGGGCCTACATCTATGCCTCTAGGTCCAGCCAGCGGCTACTGCCACTCCCTCTGGGACAACAAAGCCTAGGGTCTGAGGGCATGGGGAGGAGCGGATGCTGGGGAAAGCTGGCGCCTTATTCATGTGGGGATGCCAGAGATCTGGGTCTCACTGCTCTCCCAGGTGCCCATAGCCAGGAACAGGGCCTCCAGAATTGCCCAGCTTCTAGCTTCTAGGATGATGGTGCTTGCCTTTCTGGCCTTCATGGATGTCTCTATATGGGCTTTGGATTTTCTGATTCAGGCCTGACTTAGTTTTGAGAGAAGGCATGTGGCCTTTGGGGGACCTTGACCAGGGAGTTGTGTTTGGTTCTAGTTCTTCTTGTCCTTTTTTTTTTTTTTTAAGTTCACTTTTCTGAGCCTTTGTCAAAAAGTAAATGTCAGTTCTGTATCTAGGAGTGTATGTGTGTTGGGGAGGGGGAGGATTTCTTAACTCAGCAAGTGTTGAGAGGAGGGGACAGGGAAGGCAGAGGGAAAAGCAGAATGGGGTCCCAGAGTCTTTCACTGGAGGGACAATGTCAGTGGAGGGGGCACTGGCTGTTGAGGAGTCCCACGTGCAGTATGGACCACGGTTGGTGACACATGAATGTCCCCAGGCAGCAGAACCTGAGAACTCTGCTGTAAGTCCCCTGAGAAATGTGCCTGGAGGCTACTTGTAATGTGGCTGATTTAAACTGTATGGGTTACAGATTATGAAAATTTATTGACTTGTGGAAAGCAGTGAAAGGTGGGAGGAGAGATTGGGGGGGTAGAGAGAATTTGAATATTTGGCTAGCTTTATATGAAAAATAAACCCTTATTAACCCCTAAGGAGGACTGGGCTGCAGATTAAAATCCGAAGTCTGCCTGTCAAAGGCTGGGCCCAAAGGTGTTCTCCCTCACATTACCTCCTTCCCTGATGAGAAAATCGTTCACAGAATAATGCATACTTTATATGTTCCTGATGCCGTGTGCAACAAGGACATCAGGGGAGAAAGGAAGCCCAGAAATGGGCAAAAGATGTTGGTTCCCTGAACAGAGAAATTTCCCAAATAGGCCTTTTAAATGCGGGTCTCAGAGGTTAACTAAACAAAGACAGTCTCGGCAGGACCACACCAGAGAGGATTTTAGCCTGACTTAACCCACTGAGAGCAGAGCCTTGTTCAATTTTATGGGAATTTCAACAAGTAACCAATACAGACACCCCTCTTATTCAGCACCCCCGCGCCGGCTGTCAATCTCTCTCCCACAGTAGGCTGGAGCCCACTGGCACCCTTGCTTGCCCGCCTGCTCTTCTCCCAGCCCCTGGTCTTCTGGAAGTCCCTACTCAACTTGAACCCAGACTCCCAGGCTTCCTAGTGCCAGGAAACGGTAACAGAGGAAAAAACAAACAAACAAACAAACAAACAAAACAGGCAGGAAAGGGGCTCCAGATCTTTACGTGAGGCCGCCATTGTCCCATCCCTCACGCCAGGCCCACAGGCAAGCCCCTAAAAATCCCGGGGTCTGCAAGCACGATTCTAGAAGACAAAAACTTCCAAAAGCGAGCAGGCCGGCTTCCGGGCTCCAGCCCATCACCTCCCGGGGCTGACCTTCCTGGGAACTCTCTGTCTGGGAACACTCTGGAGGCCCTCGATAGCTCAGGCCTTCCTGTATCACTCTGAGGCCCGGGGACCTTTGGTTTGAGCCCAGTGTGCACAGGAGACCATAGCATCCTCCTTCCTCCTCTTGCTGTCTTCCCTGTTGGCTTCTCCCAATCGGGCTTGCGAGGAAGGAGCAGACTGGGTGCGCCAGGCTCTAACTGGGCCTGGTTTGGAGCGCACCGCCCGATGGGCTGCGACCCACTGAGACTGAAGGCCGGGAGGCCAGACAGGGTTGAGGACGCCCACCACAGTTCAGCGAGTGTGCCCACACACGCGCACACACAAGCGCACACAGCACGACCCTCCCGCCCTCAGCTCACCCACGCTTCCCATGCTGTCCCATTTTCCGATCCCATGACCCTGGCGGGTATGTTGAGAGACCTCGGACAGCGAGGCCCGCAGGGGCCCGAGTGGCCTTGCGCAGTATCTCGGATTTTTGTCATCCCGCGCAGCACATTAAAGTGAAGACTGCTAGGAGGCATGAGCTCTTGCTCTCTGCCCTGCAGGAGCCTGCTCTTTATTGGTCCAGGAACTGGCATTAGCGGGCTGAGCGAACGCACCTGTGTGCAGGGCAAAGCGCCCGGGTCCGGGACGCGTAGGTCAGCGGTTGCTTTAATAAAGCAGTGCCGTTTTTTGTTAACAGCTAGCACGCAGACGATCGCCAGGACCGAGTCGCCAGCCACTGAGCAGCCTGGTCTCTCCGCAGGCGCCTGGGGCGACGCGAACAGGGCCTAAGCCTCATTGGTCTCGGGTACGGTTTTTCTTCTACTGAAAAACTGAATCCGGCCCCCGGCATGAATGTGTGGTTTATGCTGCCCACACCACCAGGGTGACCACAAATGAACCAAGCAAATGAGCCTTACCCAGCCTGGCACCAAAAAGAGGCGGAGGCAGGAGATGCTGGGACCCAGAGCTTGCTGGACACCTTTGACCGATTGCGCTCCGGGGTCGGGCCGGCCGAAAGGCGCCGAGAAAGCAAAAGCAAAAGTGGGCGGCGGGTCGGTGCTGAGAAGCGCCAGGCTCAGGCCCTGGGCGGAGAAGCAGTCCTTGGGGAGCAAGGTATAGGCCTTCACCATCCTCTACTAGCATGAGGCTCCCTCAAAATCTCCTTGTGCTGCTATATGCCTTCCCTGAGGAGCAGGGAAGTCCTGGCTTCTCTAGATGAAGTCTTAGACTTTTGTGACTGAAGCCGCTTGCGGACAGAAGAGAGCTGCACTTACTTTTCCTGTCCCTTTCTCTGCAATGGAATTATTTTTTGTCATCCCCTTTGGCACAGGGAACCACCCCTGTGCTGCTCACTACTCTTACCAGGCCAATCAATTGGAAAATAAAACTCAAAGCGAGAGGGGAAGAGAGCAGTGATGGTTCTGGGGGAGGGAGCTTGGTCCCGCATTGCGCCCAGGACTCAGGGCCTGGATGCTGTGGTCTCAGCCTGCGCTCACCCGACTCAGACCACAGCTCTGACCCCCAGCCTCAGAATGATATGGGAATTCAGGAATACAAGAATACCAGGTCAGGGAAGATCTTGCTCTTGCCTCAGACCCCACCAAAACAAGATTCCAGAGGCATCTAAGGACTGAGGACAGATAGTTTGAAACAGTGATTTTTCAGAGCTGGGTTTTATCTACCCCTCTTGCATCAGCAATGCACCAAAAGAACACACCAACAGTTCTGTACCCTGAGTCAAAATTAAGATGCGGTAAATTGAAATTTTAAACACAATGCACCCCGTCATCAGTTGGGTGACCTTGTGTCTGAAATGAGCCCCCCTCTCTCTTACTTCTTTCAGTGGGACTGCCTCGTTACCAGCATCACTCAACTCCAGTGTGTGACAGAAAAGATTTCGTCCTCAATTTCAATGGCATTTCTTCTTTCCATCCTTCGGCAAGTGGGTCTTATTATCACCATCACCACCAGAGCGTGTGTCAGGATATTAAGCCCTGTGTCATGTGAATGGACAAAGGCCACATGAAGGCCCTCTCTCTTCTCTTTTCATCTTCCACTAAGGGGCAGATAGGAACTTCGAAGGACTCACACAATGTGCACGCGGATAGCAGTAAGTAGCACTCTGTCACTTAGCCTGAATGCCCAGGAAAGCCTCGTATGCTGATTTTTTTTTTTTGCCTACCATTGGAAGAGAGAAAACCTTGGCAAGATAATGCACCAGATGAGGGAGAGCATGAACTGAGGGATGGTAACAAGTTACCACATGTAAAACATAAACTTATAACTCTGGGATGGCCATTGCCTTCAGTAATCAGGGTCTGAAAAAAAGCAGACAAGTTGCGTGTATGTGTGTGTTTTTTCTTGGTCTATGAAAACTTGTGTGCTTTTCAAAAAGGCAGTGCTAAGCACAAGATTTCAAGAAAGCCTCATCTTGTTGCCTAGCTAGTTAGGAGAATTCTGCCCCCCTCCCCTCAAAAAAAAAAAACACTAGGTTTGTATACAGGTGCCAAAGAACATTATGAAGAAATGATTTAGAACCAACCACATCTATTTTAAGAAAATGGTTCTCAGTATTGTGACAATACAACATTTTTACAAGGTTGTTTTCTACCACCGTATTTTAAAGATATTTTTATGATCTTCGTGTATACTCACACTTTGCTTGTATTTTAAAAGGAGGATATATTTGCACTTATGTATACTTTTACAGTTTGCCAAAAATATTTTGATGTAAAATTTTTTTTTCAATAAAATGTATATAACAAGTAGTTGTTTTAGGGATCTGTTTCCTCTACAGGCACCCTGCTATGGATGGATCAGTGGCCAGGTTCTCCCCCACCCCACAACCCTCATCCAGCGTTGCAACTCTACCCTGCCCACCCCCACACTGTATAATTGATGTGGTGTGGGGTCTGTGCCTTGAGTAACACAGGCCAGGTTGTGATTGTGGGTCTTCTCAGGAGAAAAAAAGAGGGAATGCTTTCTGTTATTTGTTTCTCTACTTCACCCTCACTTTTTTTTTTTTCTGGCTAAACAAAAAACAGAAGGTGAAAGGAACTTAAATGAAAACCAGGAAAGATAATGAAAGGCGGACAGTCTGATTTGAGGAATCAAGCTCCGTGTCCCTTTTGTTTTCTTTCCTGTGCCCCAAAAGATTTCTGTTCTTTATTCTTTCCTCCTCCTCACCAGGTGGAGGTGACAGATGTGGGGGCAGAGTGGTAAGCCATCATCTAGCACCTGTGTGATTTGGGCTTACCGGCCCAGTGAGGGTAAGGTGCCCAAAGGACGGGGCCTGCGTCTTCTTGGCAGGTTGCAGTTGTATTATGGCTGGTGACGGTACTGAAGAGTTCTTGGGGAAGGCTGCTGAGGGTTAGTGAAGGAAATTCCAAGCATCTGGGGGTTTAAAGCTGGCACCCAGCTTTAACAGAGGTTTCGCTCAGGGGTTCCTTTAACCCCCTTTTTTCCTTCTCTTGTTGGGCTTCCCAATCATGAATACAACACAAAGAGCTGGTAATGCTCTGGATTAAAAAAAAAAAAAAACAGACAACTAATAGAAGGCCTTATTTCTTCCCCAGACCATCCTCTCTGTCTGACCTTTCCTTCACTCTCTGAGCAGGAACAGAGAAATTTTCAGCCATAATCACACTGTGGTGGTTTTTCTGTTCAACTCAGATCTGGATTTTTGGTTGGTTTTTTTTTTTTTTTTTTTTTTTTTTTTTTTTTTTGCTTTTACTGAGTGGGAAACTCACCTTTGTTTCTGGGCCCCTGAAAGGTCTTCCTGCTAATCCATTACTAGGCACTTATTACCACTCTGGAGAACTCTTATATGTTGGGGACTTTGGTGTTCCAAGTGAATTTCAGTCCAGGGACTGTCTCCTGAGTAAAATATCTTATTTTAAAAAGTCATCTTTCTAATCTTCCTTCCTCTATTTTACAAAAATTAAGCTGTGATTTAAACATTTTATTTTGTCTATTATATTTGTAGTTAAATAGGGCCACACACACACACACACACACACACACACACACACACACACCCCTGCCCCCTTTCTTTTTTTTTTTTTTTTTTTTTGTCTTTTCTTTTACACTGAGCTACTCGGGGGCCTGCTATAAATTATGAAGTCAGTTTCAGAGTTTGCTCCGACCACAGTGCTGTGTTTACATTCCTTCCGAGGCAGCCGGCATGGTCGTAATTTATATCCTAAACACTTGAACGTAACTTGTTTATACAGAGAATGACAGGACCTCAAAGACAAAAACTCCGCGTCTGTCTGACTGACCGCATTGGGAGGGCCAGCGCGCCCCCTGGTGGTGCAAGGAGACCCACGCATGGGGATCGCCGGTCCTGTCAAGAACTCCAGCAACTTCACAAAATGACCCATTTCGTGGTGCATTGACGACAAACATTTAGAATATCTATCTCACTTTGAGGAATTATACTTTACGGTTTTAGGGAATACTTTTTTTGGTGTTTTCTGTTTTACTCTTTCTAATGTATTCCTGAAATCTGATGGAGATTCGATTAATGTCATCCTGAAACGTGATGGAGATACATGGACAGTCCTGACCCATATGTAGTAGGTGCTAGAATCCTGACTAGCCGTCTTGGTACGTTTCTAGATTTCTCCCCAGCTAAGGTCAAAATTGCTTTTCTCCTAACTGCCCTTCCTTCCAAGACAAATTAATATCTAGTTCTTTTCTTTTTCTTCTCTCCAATTCCCCCCCCTTTCTTCGAGAAGCATACAGTGCTTAGTCTTAAATGTTGCTCCAGAGTTCGTAGTAAGTTCTCAAAGAAGCACTTCATTGCTTTTAGAAGTGAAAATAAATGAACTAGCTTAACTGGGGGTAAATGTCACTGGGTTTTGTTTGTTTGTTTGTTTTGGTGCTGAGGATTGGACCCAGGGCCTCTTACATACTAAGCAAATGCTCTACCACTGAGCTACATCCCCAGCCCCTCCCTCAATTATCCAATGTATTTTGAACACTTAGTTTTCTATTCATTGACAATAAAATGATATTTAAAAAGACATTTGATTATTTTGTGGAAGAATTTTGTTTTTATTTATTTTTAGTTAAGGAAAAGGCCCTATCCTTATGATGTGGGGTCAGTTAGCCGCTTTTCATCTCCATAATTAATACCTAAGATAATCAACTCGTAAGAAGGAAAAGTATGTTTTGGCTCAAAATTTTGGAGGTTTTAGCCCATGATCAATAGGTCTCATTCCATTCAGGACAGCAGTAAGGCAGAGCATCCTGGCAGAAGTGCATGGGGGTGGTAGAACAAACTGCTCACCTCATGGCTAGAGAGTTAGAAAGGGAAGAAGATTGGGATTCCACCATCCCCTTTAAGGGCAACCCCCACTGACCCGAAGACCTCCCACTATGCCCCAGCGACTAAAGACTCTGTACCTCCTAATAGCACCAAGGTCAGAGGACCAAACCTTTAACACTCAGGTCTTTAAGTGACATCCAGATCAAAATTAAAGCCTGGGGATCTGAATTCTATTTGCAGATCTGCATTAAGTCATGGTTGTGATGGGTTCAGCCCATGAGTTCTGATTTCAATTCCTTTCATGCATTTCCCAGGGTTGTATAGGAGAACTTTGCATTTGACATTGCAGACATAATGGCAGAGGTGGTCTGCACTCAGAAGTAGTTGTTCTTAAACTTGAGTGTGAATCTGCATTGCCTGGAGAGCCCACACACATTTGCTCTTTCAGTGGGTCTGGGGCAGGTTTCAAGAATTGGTATTACTTCACTAGCACTGAAAAAAAAAAAATCACAAGTAACGCAGATGATACTGGTCCAGCAACTACACTTTGAGAACCACAGCTCTAGAAAGACAGTTTGACAGATATTTACAGGTTCCAATGGAGGGTGTTAAGTCTAGCCCATTAGTTAAGCACAGATCTAAAATGGAGAGTTTTTTTTTTTTTTAATTTGCCTACTCACATGCCTCTGTCATTAATTACTGGCCCCTGGAAAAACACTAGTCCTAACTTTGAACCCTGCACCACAAAATAGAATCTCCCCATTTTTATTCAAAGCCACAAACATGCTTGTTTTATTCCAAAAGATTTTGCCACAGGGGAGTCAGGAGGAATCACTAAAGTCTTCCTGTTCAGAAGAGCAATAAGTCTCAGGACTCACACACAGCAGCAATGTCAGAATTTTCCAAACAGGAGGTGGCTCAGGAAAAGAAATTCTCCTATTGGTTGTAAAACCTTTTGAGGGTGGAACAGAGAAGGGAAAGAAAAGGGGCTGTGATCTCAGAGTACAGCCATAGTGATGCTAGTTACAAGTGGTCCAGGCAGGACCCTGAAGGTAGGAGAGGGGAGGCAGGAAGGAAGAGAGAGAAAAGAGAAAAAGGGGGAGGAAGAGATAGAGAGAGCAAGGGAGGGGAAGAGGAGGGAAGGAGAAGACAGAGATCTAGAGAGGAGGAATCTAAAAACCTACTGTGAGCATGTAGAAGTCTGATTTCTGGAGAAAATCTTCAGGCAATCAGAACAGGCCACCGTAGGACATTAAACAGAATTAGCAAGCTCCCGCCCGAAAGAAAAACTCTCTTTGCAGACTCGTGTATAGCTAATTACTGTGCATCATGGTGATTAATTCAAAACAGGCACCAACTTATTTAGGATGGAAATATATTTTAATGTATTTTATCAGAGAGGAAATGCATCTTACCAAACCTGCCTCTCTGAAACACTATCTTAGCAAGGGAAAATATCACAAACGTAGACACTGGGAGGGTTAGGCACACAAACGTCAAGATCATTGGGGTAAAAAAATGAAAGTCCTGGAAGTTCTTTTGGAGTTCAGAGTGCCCCGAGGCCACAGCAATCCCAATGATAAATATTCAGCTCTCCATTTCCTGAGGCTTGTGTGTGTGTGATGCAGAACCCTGCCCATCCCATGGCTGAACTGCCAGCCCTCTTGGCATAAATGTATTCGTGAGAGAACAGAGAAGAGTTCTGAGGAGCAGCAGGAAGCTGGTGCCCTGCACAGCTTTCCCTCCAGCAGGGCCCCATCCCACTCTTCACCCGGCCACCTAGAGCTGCTGCCTCTCACCCAGGGAGCCTCATCTACAGATGGGGCAGTGAGTCTGCAGGATGGCAGGGCACCACCTCCCAGAACTGACAGAGTACCTCCCTCCATCCAAAATCCAAACTTATTTTTCTCCCTGCTGTGCATTGAACCTACGGTCATTCTAGGCATGCGCTCTACCACTGAGCTCTATCCCCAGCTCTTTACAAGCTGCTTTTAATTGGGTCAAGTCCAGCCTCAGAGCACAGGGAGAGAAAGACCTGTCTTCTTGCTCTCTCAGTGATCATTGGGATGCCATGCCATCTCCTACTCCACCACCCTAAGCAATTCGACCTGGCCCTGAGCACCCAGGAATCATCAAAAGACCATGTGAATTGATGGGCTGAGCCATAGGACCCCGTAATGGTCTGCCTTCCTTTTTTTTTTTTTTTTTTTGTAGTGTTGGGAATGGAACCCAGGACCTTACACATGCCTCCACCACTGAGCTACATCCCCAGCCCACATCTTCCAATCTTCAAGAAGGAGGAAAGGGAACAGACTTGCTATCAGAACAGAATTGTTCTAGCAGGGTGAAACACAAGGTACCCAGGCCCAGATATTTTTGTCTGAATAGAGATTCCAAAACCATTAAGTCACCCACCAGAAGCTCACTTCTGGGACCAGCAGTTACTGGATGGGGAGTTTGTCTGCACAACTGGTTAGCAGCTTGAGCGAGTGCTGAGCAACCCAGAAGTTTGGAAAAGACAACTGTGGCTATGGCTGCTCTAGATCCCATCTGTCCTATTAGGTCAACTTGTCAGGGGTAGGTGCTGGCCTTTGTCCTTTAAATGCTCCCTAGAATGGGCAGTATCTTGTTGATGGTCTTCAGAAATTCTTGGAGGATGGCAGTTTACAGATGAGGAAATGTAGTCTCAGGTGTGTTAGTTCATAATCCCATGGTTCTCCTGATCAAAATTGACCCATGCACCTGGTCATGTCTCCTGCTTAGCTCTGACAACCAGAAACCCAGCCCCCACTCCAAGCCATGACATCAGAATCTCCGGGTGGGCTTGAGGGTCTCCAGGTGATGAGCTGAGGTTGAGAATGGCTGCTTTAGAGCCATCTGCCCCAAAGGTCAAGTGTGCAGCTGCTCAACAGACCCTCAGACTCTGTTTTTGTATTAGTTTTGCAAAAGGGAGGCCCAGCCGGGAAGGCTACCACGTGTAACTACATTAATCAGGTACCCAGGCTCTCTCCTAAGAGATGAGTCATGCTGTGGCACAGCAGAATCTGAGTGTTGGAAGATGGACACAGGAAAGGAGAAGCAGGGAGGTCAAGGCCTGGTACCTTGGTGAGGCTCTGTGGACTCAATGTCATGAAGCATACCACCTTGTAGGCAAGACATAGGACATTTGGACAATAGATCCAGAGATTCGGGCTCATCTTCCCGTGGGCTCTCAGAAGGGCAGCTGACAATATGCTAGTTAGCATGGTGACCATGACTGTAGACGCAT